TGGCTAGGCCTGGGGACAGTTGGTCCCAAAGATGAGGAGGTGCTTGTGCCTCCTCCCATGGGAGACTTAGGTCTCAGACACTCCCTAAAGAGGGAGCCAAGGCCGGGCCACCACTTGGACAAGGCCCGGGCCGGGAGAATACCGGCTAATCTTTAACTAACTAACTAACTATCGGCACTATATATATATATATATATATATATATATATATATATATATATATATATATATATATTTTATATATATATATATATATATATATATATATATATATATATATATATATATATATATATATATATATATATATATATATATATATGCAATAAGATCACAGTAAACAGGTGATTTCAAAATATGCAAAACAACCACTCTGAAAGAATAGAGAAATTCCAAGCGCTTTCGTGACTACTCACATTATCAATAGTTCCTTTATAATGTGAGTAGTCACGAAAGCGCTTGGAATTTCTCTATTCTTTCAGAGTGGTTGTTTTGCATATATATATATATATATATATATATATATATATATAATATATATATATATATATATATATATATATATATATATATATATATATATATATATATATATTATATATATATGCATCATCTCTCAGTCCACAGTAGTTTTTAAATAAAATTGGCAAATTGGGACTTATCCCACAAAATGGCAGTGTCAAGGCGAAATTTTGAAACAGATCAGATGAATCATTCTTCTGTTATGTCAAGGATTCAAAGTATTTTTATTATTTTAATGCATCAACAAATTTATTGAAGGTCGAGCGAAAAAAAATCAGTTTTTACACATAAAATCGTCAGATTCGCACCTAGGTGTCTTAATTTTACTCTCGGCTGTCGTCCTATTTTTGGCACCTATTTTGCAAGCTTGAAGCTCCACTAAGAGTTTTGGAAGTCATCCCGGCCATTCCAGGATGCTGGAAAGGGGTTTAAAAACGTTGGTCAGATGTCACATTTCATGTCAGTATTTTCAAGAACTGGATCCACAATACCTGCACAAGTGTTCAAAATTTGAAGCCTATTGAATGAAACTTTTTCGAGTTATAATGAAAAATATAATATAAAAAAGTAGGAGGGAACAACAGCAAAAATGAAAAAGCCTCTTGAATAATAAAATATTTGATAATATTATGTTTCGATTATTATTTTATTATTTTTAATGTATTCATTCACAGTTGCTTGTAAAAGGGTTACTCCATTCCCTTTGATCGAGAGCATCTCTGTTATCGGGATGTGGGTAAAACAACTGGTCTGCTCCTACTACAGTTGATTTTGTTGTTGCTATTATTGCTACTAATGTTGTTGTTGTTGTTGTTGGAGCTGTTGCTGCACCTGCTGTTATTTTGCTGCTACTACTGCTGTTGCTGCTGCTTTTGCTTCATCTGCTGTTATTGCTGCTGATGCTATCACAACTGCTGTTACTATTGTTATTGCCGTTGCAACTGTTACTATTGTTGTTGCTGTTGCAACTATTACTACTATTGATGTTGTCGCAGCTGTTACTATTGTTATTGCTGTTGCGGCTGTTACTGTTGTTGTTGCTGCTGTCGTCATAATATTGACAAACAATATTTAGTTGCTATATAGGAAGACAAACCTAAATAATCATTTGAAACACGCTCATCATCCATTTGACGAGTACTTCCAGCGAGGTACTGAAAGTACTCATCATTTGACGAGTACTGGCAGCCAGGTGCTGGAGTACTGCGCCGCTGGCAGACCAAAAATGTGTTTGACTTGTAGCGATAACATTTTTAAACATGTTGTAAACCAATTAACTTAATTTACATAGTAAAGTTTGAGTGCACTTCGAGCTGTAAAGTGTATTGCAAAATAGGATTTCAAAGGTTATCTCAGTTTTATTATATAAAATATGCATTTTAGAGAAGGCTCACAATTTTTTTTTAATTAATGAATTTCAAAGGGTACTTAAAATATTGTTACGCCCTTCCAATGGTGCGTATCTCTGTGTCTGTCTGTCTGTCTGTCTCTCTCTCTCTCTCTCTCGATTATATATATATATATATATATATATATATATATATATATATATATATATATATATATATATATATATATATATATATATATATATATATATATATATATATTGTGTCAATTAAGCTTAAATGGCGAGTTTGGCCTATTCGGCAAGGGTGTCCGCTGCCGAATAAGCACAATGAAAATTAGCTTTTAACCATAAATCTACGGAAATCAATTTGAACATAGTGAAAAGTATCATATATCATCGACTTTAAGTAATATGTTGATCTCCAGCTTAATTTAATATCTTTATTAAGCACCACATACCCATGGTGAGGGCGGTAGTCGAAGATGACGGAGACACCTAGTGGGTCCAGGGATGGCAACTCAGAAACCTACCTATCTGAATGCTTATATCTGGTTAAAAAAGTGATCAGTTATTTATGTATACAGAAATTAAGTCAGATAAACATTACAGTGTAGTATATACTGTACATGATTTTGAACGATTTATATTATTTTGATAAGATATGGTTGAATTTAAGCGGTTGTGGTGGAGTCAGATTACACTTTCTGTAGATTCCACCTCACATTTGTCTTCCGATGCATAATAGAACTGACGAATTGATCTACGACTCCTGGATCTTTGGATGTAATAATTTACAGGTGATGTACCTTTTGAGTGTATTGAACGGAAGCTTCTGGTCTTCTTGAAATGTTGAGATCCAACTCTTAGACCACTCGGGAAGGGCTTAGTTATAGTTCCAAGGTCAAGTGATTTAGATGAACTGTAACTCCTGTGCTTTTTGATGGTACTGAGGAGTAACTACTCTGCCTCGGTCGAGCAGCGACCGAATTAAAGTCCAAGAAAATTTCTTACAAGGTGGTCTGGTAAGGCAACAGAAGATCTTGGGCCAAATGACCGAAAAACTACACCAAGAAGATTATCATTTTAAAAATAAATTTCTGTTTTTCTTCTGACAATTAAAATACCATTCCAATTCTGAAAGTGAACTTACGGTTATACGAGTGAGATAAAATGGTTATAAATGTCGAAGCATCATTGGCAACACTATGCTTGGATGTCTTCTAGAAATTCAACTTTAGTCTCAGGAAAAGGAAATCATAATATTTGTTTCATAAAAGAGGAGGATTGCTCCTTTTCTCCGGGTAAAGAGTCCCTCACCAGCATTAAGGCACTCTCACTCTTGGTTGGTTCAGTGCCAGATTAAAGAGACGCAAGTTGGGTGCTTGGCACGTAGTGGGCACACAACACCAGAGTTCTGAACACGAATGATACAAAAAATGTGAGTGATTATTGATATTAGACGTGCACACACACACATACATACACATGTACAGACACACACAAACACACATACATACACACGTGTAGAAACACAATCCACAGACCAAGAGTCTATTGACAAGTGTCTTTGAGAACTAGTATTATGCAGGCCATTGTAGAAAATATGTGCATAAAGAACGCTCCATTAATAATGTTAGTGAACGGGAGTTGTGAAAAAGTGTGTCAGTAGCGGAAGAGCGGTGGCTGGAACAAGATATAAGACGTCCTGGTGTTTAGTGTTGGAGTAGAGAGTGGTATTTTGGGTAAGTTTATGCCATAGGTTATTTTATTGTTTTTGTATTCTCATGATTTTTACCTGTAAGACCCTGGTATGTGGAAGGCCTGTTCTGGAGAGTACAAATGACGTGTTTTTGCCTAGTGGTATTAATCAATAACTACACTGCGACTAGCCGAGTATTCGAACCTATGTCGTTTTGGCCCATCTCATGATGAGCGAAAATCACACATGAGATGGGCCAAAACGACATGGGTTCGTATCCTCGACTAGTCGAAATGTTGATAATATATATATATATATATATATATATATATATATATATATATATATATATATATATATATATATATATATATATATATATATATATATATATATATATATATATGTCGTGCCGAATATGTAAAACTGGTCAATTAGCAAGAACTCATTTAAAATTAAGTCCTTTTTTAAATTTTCTCTTATACGTTTAAAGATATATCTTTTTCATTAAAGTTAATTTAAAAGAAATTAATTTTGCTCTAAAATAATCTTAGAAAACTTACCTAACCTTATTATAACAAGAGCAATTTATTTTAACCTAACCCAACTAAATATATTTTAAATACGTTTACAATAATTTAGTACTAAACAAACACAATCAAATATATTTTTTTCGTTAGGTTCAGAATGATTTTGGCGAAATTATTGCATACACAAATATTCACTTGTCCTATATGGCAAGATGAGCGTTGCCATTTAAGCCAAGATCGCAAGTTCTGCCTATTCGGCACGACATATATATATATATATATATATATATATATATATATATATATATAATATATATATATATACATGTTAAGTAACTAGTACAACTGTACTAGTGGGTTTAGGTAATATTTCGTAGGTGGCCTAGAGTACCTGATACAAGTACATGTATACTGGTGTGTTTTAATTAAAACGTAGAGGGTAGGTTGTATGTTGTGTATGCACGTTTACAATTAATATAGTTATATTTTTATAAAAATGAGTTTAATTGCCCTTCCTGATAATTAATACAAGTATTGACCATCTAGTTTTTGTGAAGGAAGAAGCTTAGCTCAAGGTTCGTTTATTTTGTTTAATATTTTTTCAATCCCCCTAAACAAGGCTGTTACTACTAGCCGCCAGCATTTATATACGAAACGTAATAACAGCGTTACAACTATTAACTACAACTACTAATACTAATACTCCTACTACACACACACACGTCACACAATAATACGTATGAAATCTGATAAGCTTTAGTTGCTTGCCTGAGGAACACCACAACCTTTAATACTTACACCTGAATGGTCCAGAGTCAGGTATGGAAATCAAAAATAGCAGATCCGCTAACAGCAGCAGCCCGAAGAAAAGAAAGATTAGGCCAGTTGTGATACTTACCCGGGTCAGCTGACCAAAGAGTCTGGACACTTCGAGGAGAGCGGCGGTGGCCGACGACGGGTCAACTCCACCGAAGATCCAAGCATCGCGGTGATTGCCCAACACAACGTATCGGTCTGTAAAAGCAACATACGGGGTTACCTTACTGTTATGTTCTTCCCAAGTCACTAACTGTATTTACACACAATGAAAGTATGTGCTTGAATTAGGTAAAATTTGGTAGGGCCAGTGGTGCTTCTGGTCATCTGAGCGAGGCCTTCTGCTAGCTTACCGGTCCACCCCCTTTAAAAATCAATTAATTACTAGTGTGCTTTGGCGAAAATGATGCAAGTCAGAACAGATATATTCTTCCAACAACGATTATTAATTTTCATCAGTCAATGCCATAACCTGATAAGTATGATACAATTAATAGGTTATATCACAATATGCAAAACAACCACTGTGAAAAATAGTGAACTTTCACGATTTCTCACATTATTAAGGAACTGTGATAAGTGTATTATAGGTAAATAGTTGGGAGACCAGCTGACGAGGAGCCTTGAGGTGCGAATCTGACTGTATCAGGTCAGGAGGGCAATGTATGCCGAGGAGGAACATGTGAGCCAGGTGTGGGTAATTTCTGTGGTGTGAATGATATAAGGCATTTTGTTCTGTTCCTCTCTTTTGTTAGAAAACCCTCCTTGCTGTGTGGTGCTCCATGTGGTGTGAAGCCTCATTACGATGTAAAATACAGGCGTTCCTGATGTTATTGATGTGAAAAACATTTATGTGTTTAGTAAACGTTATGAGAATAAATCACTTGCTGTTTCACCCACATATACATTATGACATCATCTACAAGAAATGTTGATTCCTATATTCGCCTCGGGGATGGTGTTGACCCTCTTAGACCTGGTAATGTCTCTCGTACTGGTGGACTTGACGGTGGTCATGATGTAACTGCTTTTATTAAGTAACCTAAATAAGTTATCAGGGACTATAAAAGAAGGAAAATATAAAAAAAACAGTTATTACTGGTACGAACTCTTGAAGTTCTTAAGAACATAAGAATAGAGGAACACTGCAATAGGCCTACTGGGTTATACTTGGCAAGTCTTTTCAAATCCATCGTCAATCATTCAAATATTGGTCCAATCAATTTTTAACAGGTATCCAAGGCATAAGATTCAATAACTCGACTTACCCTTGTTGAAGTCTGTGGTCAAATTAGGAGGAACCTTTTCTGAAAGTTTCAAACTACACAAAAAGAGGGTTGTAGGAATGGGTCCTATAACTTTAGTCACTGAGAACCTAAACGTGCCAGTTGCTCCCAGATTCTAGGCCTAGTTACCGTACATCAGCGATGAAAATTTAAAGACGACCGGATGAGCTAAATAAACACAAAAAAGTTGGAGGAACAAAAAAGTAAGACAACTTCTAAAAGGTCTTTTTTTCGGGGGTACGTAATAATGATTCATTCACGTGGAAACTTCTAAATGAATATTGTCGTCGTTAATTAGGTCTCTCGTTTATTTCCGTCGACTCTTGGCCACATTTTGTGCTAATATTTCTCGGAAGCTTCTAGTCTCATTCAGGACTCCACCCTCATCCCTCCTCGTCCTCCGGGTCGTAGATCTAGCCAGTATTGCAGCCACTACACCATAATGCAATAAGACACCGAGTAAAAAACCATAATGGGATAACGGAAATTCATTCTAAGTCATTTAAATTTATCAGCACGAATAATGACAAAATAAATATAGGAGTAGAAGGCCCTTTTCTGGTTCCAAAACACTTTTCTGGAATATATATATATATATATATATATTATATATATATATAATATATATATATATATATATATATATATATATATATATATATATATATATATATATATAAGTGAGGAGGGAACAATACGTAGTGTTGAAATCAATCTGCTTTAGTCAGCATGAGTATTCATGCTTGAGGGAAACTTATGATCGTGCGGAGACAAGATGCATCCTGGTGAATCACTCTTACTGATTATTATTATTATTATTATAATCAAGGGGGAGCGCTAAACCCATAGGATTATGCAGCGCCTGTGGGGGGGGGATGTGGAAGGTATTCAGGATTAATTCTGGGAACTGGAGCACAGATCCAATTACCAAGATCAAGAACCCCTCACCAACGTCAAGGAACCTTCCTTGCAGGGTCACTCTTACTGAGCGGCGCAGCAAGCACCATCATCCAACACTGCACACAATGGGGAAATACGTAAATTGACGTCAGTGAAACATGTTCAAACAACGTAATTTACTCTCAATGAATATTCCACCGTTGAAAATAACGATAAAGAAAAAATTACATGAATCAATAATTAATAATGAATCAATAATTAATAATGAATCAATAATTAATAATTTTTTCTCCTAAGAAAACATTACTGTCGTATCAAAACTCGCCAGTCAAGACACAAGTCTCCCTGACAACCTGTTGCTAGGGAGACTCGTACTCTTAATTATACTTAAATGAATGTAAGTTGAATTAGAAAGCTTTCACTGCATCAGCCATCAAACTCGGCTAAATTCTGGAGTGATGTTATAGGGGTAAGGTAGAAGTGGGAGACACAGTATAAGTTATAGCGCAGAGAGACAGAGAGAGACAGAGAGACAGAGAGAGAGACAGAGAAGTTTAGTATCGGTAACAGCAAATTACAAAACATTTATCATCTTTGGAACCAATATGTATTTAAAAATGAATTAGGCGTACTGCTGCTGAGCCTCTCCACTATCTGTACAATTCACTGAATCAGTTGTGCTGCTGCACTGCACATGTAATGACAACATATAGTATTTGCTAATGACAAAACTCAAGAGGACGATAATCATAGAAAAGAGTGCCGTTATTGTGGGGAGTGAGATATTCTTGACATTCAAAGAGGTCTTGATCCAGCGAGCGACACAGATTCTGCCTTGATCATGTGCTTCACTTGCTGTGTGGTTTTATTTCCACTTGCTGTGTGGCTTTATTTTATAATGTGAGTGAGAGCATTTTTCAGTACCCCAAGTGCATTATATACCTACTACACTTCAGTTCATGCGCATGTTGACAAATTTTCAAATACACACTGAGTAGGTATTACTCTGTTGGGTTGCCACATCCTTAATCTTAGTCGCCTCTTTCATCTTATTTCCACTTCTGAACAAACTGTCTCTCTGTTGTCTGTCTTATTTTGTTTTAGCAGCAAAGTTTTCAACTCCGGAAATGTACTCCGGAAATGTTTCAAGGTGCTCCATCTTGGGCAGCTGTACGGACAGCCAGCAAACAGATGATACACAATACAACAGGTAGCCATTAGACGTTATCCTCTTCCGTTCATATGTAAAACAAACAATATTATCACAGTAAACATATAATGATATAAAAAATCAAATATACTGAACAAATAAAAGTATTGGTTCATAGGCGGTTCAACCTTCACCCTGTCTCAATTACGTACACCTTTATTGTGATTGATTTCTATTGTACCTTACCGCTAGGCTTTAAATAATAAGATATTACAAGGATCTCAATGGAAATATATCGCTTTGTCTGACTTTTTTTTTTTTTGAAATATCCTAGACAATGTACACATATGTTACACTTATGTTACTATATAGGGTGGAATCCTGGCATGCTGCAGCTTGGTAAATGATTCAAAACCACTTGTTTCGTGGTTTCATTGTTATATGTTACTACGTACGATGATTGTACTTATGTGGACCTGTACCTAAATAAACTTAACATAATTTGCCTAATCAGAATGCCAGTCTTTAAATTTCGCTGAGATAGCAAAACAGATCTTAGCATGCACATTACTGAAAGTTAAGACACATGTGCAACATCTGGATATCTTTAGTGTAGACGTTTCGCCATCCAGTGGCTTTATCAGTACAGATTCTAGGACATAATTGGAAGACAGTAGAACTATATACAAAAGATGAGGTAATCAGTCCCTCAGCCTTGGAGTTAGTGTTCACAGCATCGTGGTGGAGGAGAATCTGGAGCAAAGGCAAGAAGACTGGCGGTTATATAGGCGTCAGTGGATCAGGACGTGCAGCAGACGAGGGCATAGTCACTGATAGGCGGGATACCCCAGTGGAAGTAGGTCCTACCCAAAGAGATGGGTTAGTTGTAGCAGCCGTGAAGAAGGTCTTGTAGATGTCCTCTGAACCAAGATTCCGTGATGTTGCAGTGTCTGACAAATTGTGCATGAAAGGTATAAAATACAGACAATATGAAAGCTAAGACACATGTGCAACATCTGGATATCTTTATTGTAGACGTTTCGCCATCCAGTGGCTTTATCAATTCTGTCTTCCAATTATGTCCTAGAATCGGTATTAATAAAGCCACTGGATGGCGAAACGTCTACAATAAAGATATCCAGATGTTGCACATGTGTCTTAACTTTCATATTGTCGGTATTTTATACCTTTCTTGTACATGCACATTACTGGTCCTAAATGGCTGCAGGCACTTGTTTTGAGGCTCACGTGAAGACAATAAACAAACATTACTCAAGTCTGTGGCTCCCGGACCTTCTGCTGCCACGGCTCTACCATAAACATTTCCACATGAATATTTTCGCTATGCTTTATCCCTCTGATTTCCTTTTGTTTGGATAATAAGAGAATTATGATGAGGGAGGGAAGAGGGTTAACTAATGAAATTCTTAGATGAAAATGGTGATAAGGGACAAATTTCAAAGTTAGTTAAAGAATATGGAGCATTTAAGTAAGAAAAGAAAGCTAAAGAGAAATAATAAAAAAAAATGATAGATTTGGTTAGTTATTATCAACGAACCTGATGAGAATAAGTAAAAATTTTGGAGAGAAAGATAAATGAGGAAATTACGAAAGTTGAGAAGGAAAGTGTTAGATGGGGAGGTACAGGTTCTGGCAAAATGTAGAGAGGATTTTGAACTGCTAATTAAACTTAGATAATAAAATAGGGGCTTAGATCTCATTCTCATAATAAGGATAAAAGTAAAGTAAACCGATATACACCTCAAGACGTATATATTAGAAAATTAATGGTTAATGGGTAATAAAACTCACTGAATATTCAAAGGGTCATTAAGGCTGCTTGTCCCCTGTTCACCACCATT